TCAAATTTGGGGTATTTAAAATATGGAGATAAAGCAATGAGTCTGTTTGTATTGTTTTTGCATATGCTCACTCCTGAGCCCATTCCAATCCTCTGTTAATCTGTGTTTCTCAAGAAGCTGCAATTTATGTTCATTGAAAAATGTTTAAATTGTATGTGTTGGTCTTCCCCCTGCCAGGTCTGTGCTCAAGACTGGCACCTATGCCCTTTTTGGAGATACTCCTCCCTGTTCCTTGTTAGTGTTTGCTTCAGTATTTGTATGTCCAGGATATCCTGAAAAGGAGGTGGTGGTGGGGACTCTTTCCCACATACAGGGAAACACAAATGGCTGTAACTTGCAGGGAGAGTGTCACAACACAATCTGAATTATTTCTGGACTACCTCCACCCAGAGAACACAACAGTACAGCTAGTATGAGCTCTGGCAGTAACATTGCCACACCAACAGAAGAGAAACAGAAGATATGAGAGCGGATAAAAGTGAATTTGCCCTGAAGTGAATTTCTGACATAACCACACAAGAATTTAAGCATTCATCTGCTCGCTCCCTCTCCCTCCCCCTCCCTCCCTCTGTCCTGATAATATAAGTTAAGTTTCTACAGAGGAGGTGGAAAGCAAAGTCCGGGAAGTGTTCTTTAATTCTCATTGCTACTTAAAAATAAAACAAGAGAAGAGACTGCTATATCCTCCCACATCAGCGGTTAGAATTGTCCAGGAGATAGCTTGGTCTTTATTGGAGATGAAGCTTTCAGTCCCCTTCTCCTTTGGTGCTTGATCTACATCATGTCAGGTTTAATGCAACAGATCTATGGGGGATGCCACTGCACTCAGTTGGTGCTCTAAGTTCTTTGCTCTGTCCTATGGCCACCGTGGAGATACACAAATAGGCCTGATTTGGTTAATGTTTCAACATTTGATTAAATACAGTGTACACCCCTAGGGAAAATGTAGGTAAGTTCATAACAAAATTTACAAAGATTGCATTCCTGGAGCAAATATAATATAAATATAGATTGTTCATAAGGAACAATAGTAGTTTCCTAGTGCAAAATTGAACTTTCTGATTTATCTTGAAGCCCCAAGACTGTGTTGGGCTGGAATGGATTCAGAGCAGGAGAACTTCTGAGATACACTTGAAATTTCCCAGTAAGCAAGACCACATGTGGCTCACATATATTACTTGTGAGCTCTCTGGACAGTATGTACTTCATTTTTTTGTTCCTTATGGTGCCTTTCCGCACTACTGGTACCATATAACTTATACTATGTTAGTAGAAAAACTGACAATATTGTCAGTAGTAGAATGAAGTCTTATACATCACCTGTTGAATTCAAAAATATTCAATCTTTGTATACATAACAGTACTGATTTGGATTTTGTCATTTTGTATCAAATCTTTGTAGCTGTTTGTTACTTGGCAGACTATCCTTCCTGGAGTGATTTGACTGAATCAAAATTATACTCAGGGAAATGGAAGGTCTTAAGGAGGTCTTTCATATAAAAAAACCCACAACAACAAAATAGAGCATACAGATTGCCTTTAACTATACAGAAGAGTATTCATGAACCGAATGCATCATTCATAAATAAGACCACATTTCGTGTAAGTGGCAGCTTCTATGAAGCATGCCAATCTTGTTCAGCTTAGATGCCATTACAGTTAGAAACCCTAAGTGTAAAACAAATCACTTAATCAGCATAGTGATATTTGAAAAGAATGCAAGATGAAAAGAAGACAGCGAACAAGGGAAATTGTGTACAAATGCAAAATGGGAGAGCTGACAAGGAGGCCAATTAGAATAGCTTTTGTCAGCTTTGAAAACCATCACCATCTTCTGTGTCAGTGCGAAGAGATGGTCACAAATTATGATTGTAAGAGTGCATTTCAACAGCTCTAATTCTGGAGGCTTTCAATTTCTAACTCTGGACATGCAGGGCATCTCATGTTCCTTGGACTCTTGTTATTCCACATGGGTGGCTGGGTATGGTGCATCACAACATGGCTCTTCACATCCTCAGGACAAGATGAAGTGATTCCTTTGAAACCTCGGGACTGATATCCATCTTTCCTACTGACACTTTCCAGCACCACTCAATACGTCTGATGTTACCTAGCTAGCTCATAATGCCCCAAGATATACTTCTCTTTCCACATGGCAGACACATTAAATACTGTACTGAATCTGTGTTCTATAAAGAATCAAATTATATATGTGAATACATGAGCATCACCAGGGCTACGTTTCTATCCTTCCTATTGTTGGGGGCAGAGAAATGTTGGCAACGTAGTTTCATGTATGGGAACAGATTTGGGGAAGGGGGGAATTCAGCAGCTTCTTAGGTGTTTATATATCATCTTTTAGAGTAAATACATCCTTCAACAGCAGCTCACAATTTAAAAAAGCAAACAAACCCATAAATCAAATTGCAGATGAGAATTCATAGCAAGAAATAACACACTCTTCATTCAAAAAAAAAACACATTTCAGCACTGTTAATAGCAGGAAATGTTTAAATTACAATTTTAATGTGATAGAGAGGCTACAGTTAATGTATAAAACAACTACAAGCAGCCAGATCTTTGTTGTTGTTATGTGCCATCAAATTGGAACTGACTTACAGCAACCTTTAAGAGGGCTTTCAAGATAAGTGAGATATTTAAGGAGTGGTTTTACCAGTTATACACACGTCAGAAAGCATCCATGGCTGATTGAGGATTTGAACCTCCTGATTCCTAATCTATCATTCTGGTTGGGGATGGCCTGAGCTTGAAGTATGACCGTCCTCCAATTCTCCTGACGGACAGTGATAGTGATATTACTGCATGGTCCAGTTTGGCTGCAAGAGCCATAGACAGGGAGGGCAATACTTCTTCAAGAAAATTAGCTGTTAGTGACATCGTCATTTATCCAGTGCTGATGGGACGCAATTTTGATGATATCATGGCCTTGAAATTTGCTGCCTCCGCCTTCAAAACTGTGACATTATCTAGCAAGCTAGTAGGGCTGAGAGGCTCCCAGTGGAGCACTGCCATTGCCAGCTGAATGCCAGCTAAAGGGCAGGGGGACATAATGCAAAACTGTCTGGGTAGGGTTGACTTTACACTGCCATATGGCCTCTGGGAGAAAGAGGAAAATGGTGGGGCATGTGGAAAGTACACTTCTGTTCCCTCATGTGGAGAAATTTTAATTTTAGCAACATGAAATATTAGAAAATGCAACCAGAGATTGGGATTGCTGTTTTGAGCAGTGTGCAGAATATAATGTTCTTAACAGCTAAAATAGAAGTATGCTGAGTAGTTTGTGGTAAAGGCGTAGCTATCACTCAGGCAGCAGACAGGTGGCAATGACTCTTTGGAAAGGGGCATACAGGATCATCTTACTATATTTTGCTGAAATCCAGCCTCCCGCTGCAGAGTAATTAGCTCTTCAGTTATTGCAAGATGCAAGATGTCAGTAATATGAATGCAGTTTAGGGAGTGTGGGGTTTTTTTTTGTGGTGTGTGTGTGTGTGTGTGTGTGTTTTGGTCTTTTTTGTTTCTCTTTACTCTAAGTTTCTGGAGGTCCATATACATGGTGTTTGAATGTACAAGTACACAAGGACACAGTGGGATGGAATAGATAAAGCACTAGACCTCCATCAAGGACACCTGAATACATCTTGCCATGACTTCCACTGTTTTAGAGAGGCTGAGCTAGTCAATCCTTTCCATCTTAAACTACCTCCCAGAGTTGTTGTGAAAACTTAAAATAACATAATCTGCTCTAGGATGCATTGAGTTACTTAAAGAAAGGAGGGGTAAATATATATTTTTAAGTATGCATCTTTACTGATTTGGACAAGTATTGTTGTTCCTCTGTACCTTGAAACAGCTCTGATTTATGATAGACCTACAAATTAGTGACCTCTAGAAAGTCCCGTCAACAGCCCCGCTCAGCTCTTAGAAACTCAAGGCTATGGCTTCCTTTATGTAGCAAATCCATTTCTTATTTGGTCTTCCTCTTCTGCTGCTGCTTCATTCAACTAGTCCTCCCTAGTCTTTTCAAGGGAGTCTTGTCCTCATGATATGCTTACTTTTGCTCAGTTTGCTCAGTTACTGGTTAGTCCAAGACTCTAACCAATACATGTGAGCATAATTTCATGCTTCTCGTTAGTATGATTTCTTAAAAATATATCAACGGTAAATGAGCATTATGGATGATAAAAAAAAATACCCACTAGATATATTTTAATATCTGAAGGCTTAAAAACAAGTGCCAGTTCTCCACCTGGCTTTCCTTAGCTATGTGGTAGAATATTGTCAGGATAGATACCCATGACGACCTGATGGTGTTGGCTGTTTTTAAATTCTGGCTGCTCAGACATCTCTGTGCTTGGGCCGAGTAGATCACTTCAAACAGTATCTACACAGTCCATATCCAAGACAATAGGGGTTAGCTATGGAAGATGAATTAGAAGGAAACAGAGCACATTATTGATATAGAGAAAGCCAAGATAGGAGATATAGGCCTAAATCCACTCTAAATTCCATTATGTCTTCATTAGGCTCAAATAATATAACACTGAACATAGACAATTCACCCAACAATTCTTACCAGACCGGCAAAACTGGGTTAGTTTGCCCATGGTGCTGTTTCTCTATTTTGCATTTGTTACATTGATATCCTACCTGTTTCCTCCAGGCAGTGTTCGTAGTTTTCCTGTTCCTCCCTGTATCTTCAAACCTGTGAGGGTAGTGTATTCAAGAGAGTGTCTTCAACCTCACCCAGTTTAGGTTCCTGTCCAAGTGAGATTTTGAACACTCTAACCACTGCATCACAATGGCTTCCATATGGAAGGAAGGATGGATGTACAAAGTAAACTTTGCAAACTGAGCGAAGCAAACGGTCTTCTCTTTAGCCCCTCAGGTTTTCAGAAATGTTATGGATGCACCAAGAGATCTTTAACTTAAGGAATTGCCATGCTTGTGCGTTTACTTCATTTCTTTCATCTGTTTGTCAGGACCCGTATCCACCACTACAGTGATAGACAGCAAGAATGGCGCAGTCCCCATTCCACACATGAAGGTGTCCAAGAGATCTGTATCAGAAGACTTTGCAACCACATTCAGCTCACCAGCAGCATGGCTCCTTGTTGCAGCTCTTATTGTTACATGGTCAGCTGTGGCGATTGTCATGTTTGACTTAGTGGATTACAAAACCCTGGCAGGTAAGAATCAGATATGCTACAGAATATAATCTAGTACTGATTTTAGTATATAGTGTTGGTAAGTTCCTTCCGCAAACAATCAAATGACTACTTTCCCTAAACTGACATAGTAAAAATTGTGATTGAGTCACATTCCTAATTTTTATATAACCAGGAGCCAGTAAATTGGTTTCTCCTTACTTTACTCAAGCTCTGCACTGTCCAGAGTGACGAAGTGTCCTATAAGATTTAAAAACTCACCAGTTTATATGTCTAGGTAAATGTAAAGGTTCCTCTTGCGATTTAGTCCAGTTGTGTCCAACTCTAAGGGGCGGTGCTCATCCCCATTTCCAAGCCTTAGAGCCAGTGTTTGCCTGAAGACAGTTTCTGTGGTCACATGGTCAGTGCAACTAAATACAGAACACTGTTACCTTCCCACTGAGGTAGTACCTATTTATCTACTTGCATTTTTACATGCTTTCGAATTGCTAGGTTAGCAGGAGCTGGGACAAGCGATGGGAGCTCACTCCGTCATGTGGATTCAATCTTACAACTGCTGGTCTTCTGACCTTGCAGCACAGAGGCTTCTGTGGTTTAGCCCGCACTGTCACCACGTCCCCTATGTTTATATGTCTACTGACCGATAAAGAAGTTGATCATCTTGCAGCTGGCTGGATAGCTAAGTGAGTTGGGCATAGCCAGAGGCTGGGAGTTTTGATTCCTTGTTCTGGCTCCCAGAAGAAGAGCCAGCCTGTATGGTCTTGGGCAAGCTGCAGAGTCCCAGAAGTACCCCCAGAAGAAGGGAATGGTGAACCACTTCTGTATATTCTTTACTTAGAAAAACCTGGAGTGTCACCATAAATCAGAATAGATTTGATGACACAGAATTATTACTATTGTTCCAGGGTTTTCCCCCCCAAAGATCACATAACTGCTCCTCTTTTACTCCCCCCCTTTAAAAATAAAATGCCCTGTTTCATGTTGCACTTAATTCATAATTCTTTATAGTGAAAACCTTTGCATAAGAAAGCCTTTGTGCAGAATTTGCCATAATCTACATACAGTAAGTGTGTGTAAAGCAGCATATGTTGCATGTACTATGTTGAATCGGCAACACCTGTTTAAATCACAATTAATATAAGGCATGGCAAGGAAAACTGTTTAAAGAGTATATGTTCTTGTAGTCACCCTTGAACATCTAGAGGGCGTCCTGGATTTGGGTCTATGCCAGTGCACAATAAATTATGCCATTTTGTTATTATTAGCAGTTTATTCCATCTTGTAACCCAAGACAAAATTGTGTTTGCACAAGAGCATTTTCTATGGGACAAAAACATTATTTCTTATTAATAGGGACAAAATTTGAAACAGGAAAATGGTGTATGGAATGTAAATCTTTAACCATAATATGACCATTTTTAACTAAGATTGCAAACCCTGTCCAGTAGGACTGCTGTACCTGCTTTATTGAAACTGTCAGAATTTGACTGATTCATTCAAGGCCATTGACAGCCTAAATATATGTGTTTTTAATACTATAAGGATGGAATGTTTTACAAATGGTGCAAACCTTTACAAACTTTTGCATATTTATTCAGAAGCAATTCCCATTCTGTTTAGTGTGCGTAGGAGTATGCAGTAATTTTAATAGATGTGTTGAACCTTCATCATTTATGAGAATATCACTAATCTGATAATACAGAACAAAGTAGAAGCACAGCAAGCTTCAGGCTGGAGCTACAAGTGATGCCGGGTTACATGCAAACCACCAGGCAAGTGCTCTGGCCTACAAATACTTGCCTATTTTACCTCACTCCTGTTTTTGCTGTATCAGACAGATAACAAAATAAGAGTTTATTGCCACCATTCACAGTATGACTGCTCTAGGGCTGGTGGGTTACAAAAATTGTGTCATTCTTATTTAATTGCTGCTTGGTTTGCTAGAACTATCTAAACAAATGCTAGTAGACCATCTGTGATTAATGCGGTGTCCTAGGCAAAAGCTAAGGATGTCTCTCTGCTTATTTTGGTCTATGGTTGAGATGCTGGCTTCCAGCATTTGGCCACAGTGTCAAACAGAGAGCAAGGCTTGTGTTAAACAATTTAGTGGAAATGCTACTGCAATATCCATATGCAGATTTGCAGCTGCAGCTGCAAATACCGTTGTAGTCCCATTGCCGTCTTCTTTAACTTCTTAAAATTTTTAAAAGAAGCTGATCATCAGACAAATTATCTCTACTCCAAATCCACTGACTACTATATATATAGTAATCAGTATATAGTGGTGTATATATATCAGAGAGTTTATATCAGAGATATCTATCTATCTATCTATCTATCTATCTATCTATCTATCTATCTATCTATCTATCTATCTATCTATCTATCTATCTATCTATCTATCTATCTATCTATCTATCTATCTATCTATCTATCTATCTATCTATCTATCTATCTATCTATCTATCTATCTATCTATCTATCTATCTATCTATCTATCTATCTATCTATCTATCTATCTATCTATCTATCTATCTATCTATCTATCTATCCATCCATCCATCCATCCATACATACATACATACATACATATACATATACATATATAATGGTGTATATATATCAGAGAGTTCATATCAGAGAGACTGGTTTTCCTTTGAATATCATTTATGTTGCAATTCTGTAAAGACATCAGATGAACTGAATAATATAGATTCTGCTCAAGTAAGTAGGTAACATGCAGTTTACTTAATTCTAGTGAAATGGGAAGTTTTCTAAACATAAATTTCAGTTCCAAGAAAAAATTGTCTATGTGTATTCACACATGCAATTGCTTGCCATTATTAAGGAACCAGATACTATCTAACAAACCAATCTGTCTCCATAAATTATCATCTTTACATGACCATTTTTAATTGCACCCACTATAATTCTATCTTCACGTATATTTTTTAAAAAAATCAATTATTAAACAAATCTTTATGATCCATACAAAGCTAATTAAAAGATGAGTCATAATTATTTGACAGGCAGAGAAATGATCTAAAGACCAAAAATTAATATTCTACAGTCTTCTCATTAAGATTGGACTGAAATAATTTTCACAGATGATGAATCTAATAGTCACTTACATGCTAGACAATGAAAATTAATTAGGGCTGAGATAATGAATTTAGCACTGAATTTCTGGTGAATTTCAAGTTTTGTAGTGAAATTTACATATTCAGCAAGTTTGTGTAGGAGATGACCTTGCATCAAACAGCTAAACACATCATGCTTTTTCTATTTTTCTTTCAAGTGCGGCTCTCAGTTTACACTTTATTATATGCCATTTCCTCTTTTTAAGATAACTCTAAACAAAATACCAATAATTCTTGTGTGTGGTGCATTTATTTATTTATCTATCTGTAGTGCCCAATTAGTGATGAACACTACTCTGGAAGGTATGTGTAATAAAACAAGCAAAACCCACTCATCCAACCCACAACAAAACAATCAACACAACAGGAAGAAAATTCTGGTATTAATGCTAGGGCAGGGGCCAGTGGTCCATGCAGGAACTGAGGCAGTGGAGTTTTGCTTTGTAGGACGCATTCTCCCAGCAAGCTTTGTGGCTGTACACTTTACAAAATTGTATATCTTGTGCTGTCAAAATCTTACCACAAATGTTTTATGGGGCAGGAGAAGCAGCTAAGTCAAAATTGGAAATTTTGCAGAATAAATTCATGAAGCTGATACTGGGGCTCCCTCTGGGAATTCCCTCTGCTCATCTCAGAGCTGAGTTAGCCCTTCCCTCAATTGCTGCTAAAACTGACCTGGCCTATTTTAGATACTGGCACAGATTGAACAACCTAGAGGACCTCTCCTTGACAAAGTGCTGCTGGAGAGAACAATTACGGTTTGGTGGATAGGCACAACAGTGCTACCAAAAACTAAAAGCCTATAACCTCCCACTGGAAAAATTCTTCAGTCTATGCTTCGGGGACCTTAAAAACTGGATTCTCGACTTTGATTCCAGTCAGGACAGGACAGTTGTTGTCAGGTCCCATTTTTCCATCTGGTACCCCCAACTTCAGTTGAATCATGCAAAACCAAGTTACTTTGAGTCACTCAGTTTTCCTCAGATCCACAGAGCATTCACAGAACTTAGATTTGGGCAGATGACCACAGTGTATCTTGAAGGGAGATATAAAGGAATCCCATCAGAGGAGCATATATGTATCTATGACTGCAATCAGATTGAGGAACTAACTCAATACTTATTACTCTGTTGTCTCTGAAAATCTCAGGCTTCGATTTGTTAAGGTTTGTAATATTACATAAATGTTGAATATAGTGACTTTGATATTATATACTATGCCACCATTCCCAGAATGGGTTTATTGATCCCTGGAGCATCCTTTTGTTTTAACCATTTTAATGTAAGTCTGCCTTTGTAAAGGCTTATGGCCAGAAACAATAAAGGTACGATGTGTGTTTGTCCTGTGCAGGATTGTAAAATGTGGCAATATAACATGGCCTGCTATCCCCAACAATAGCTGTGAATGAGGCCCAAAGCATGCAACATCTTATTTGTTTTTCGCTTTTAATGTGCTTTTGATGTAGTTCTGCTCCAGTTCTAGAATCCCAGTGAATTCTCTGTCTTGTGGATGACTCTCAAAGGATGATTTTCAAAGGATGACTATCTACTGAGAAAGCTGAAAATGTTGATGTCTCAGCTACTATGCTACAGTTAGCACCAGCTACATTCTGAGCTATGCAACTCAGTGGAATTCTCGCAGGATTAAATGTTCACATTTTCTGGTTTACATTGTTTATATTTTGGTATGACCACCTTATCTATCTCCTGAGTAACCTATTATGTGGGACAGGAAGCAACAGTTAGAACTGGATATGGAACAACTGATTGGTTCAAAATTGGGAAAGGAGTACGACAAGGCTGTATATTGTCCCCCGGCTTATTTAACTTATATGCAGAATACATCATGCGGAAGGCTGGACTGGAGGAATCCCAAACTGGA